AAACATAACAAAAGCTTTAAAGCTGTTAAAATTGCAAACCATTTCATCAAATGGTTTTGGTTGTGAAGGCTTAATATTTGAAACTGGTCAACCTAAAATATTAATAATTGCCACAAATAATTTTGGCAACCCCCCCTTTCATGCTGAAAACACTTTGAAGGCCCCCCTTCTAACCATAAAATGTTTAGAAGGCAACCCCCCTAATTTCCCTCTGCCCCCCCAGGTCCTTAATTAATGAACTGTCCCTAATACAGTAAAAACCGTAAAAATTTATTAATGTTCGTTTTAATGGAATACTATATTAACTACTTAATTAATTTAAAAAATATATAATGTAACACATCGTCCCGTTGCATTTCTCTGCACAAAATTGTTTAATAGGCTATAGTAATTTTTCTTTAACTTTGCTTCCCGCGATGACCAGTGGCAGTGAATCGTTGTTCTCTGTAATAAATTAGAATTACATATTTATTAAATACTTATATCAAGTTTGAGCACTATAGCGCTGTCGAGTTGATTATCCTTTAACGTCTTTGTTCACGTTATTTCTAATGAGAGATTTGCGTGTTAACTATAGGTATGGTTAACTATATACGTAACTTGGTTATGGTACACAGGGAGCTTTCTCGCAAAGTTGTTTTCAGAAAGGTTCTGAACTAAATAAACCAACTTGCAAGGAAGACAGGCATATACCACATAATTATGAGAAATAGTTGGACAATTACACGAAAGAAATATATAATGTAATAACAATTATATCAGAAAGTTCCTTGTAAAGAAATTGTATAAGTGTACGTAAATTTCATTTAAAAAAATTCAGCAGTCCAAATGTTATTCTCGATGACCCAACATGCTTGGGATAATACTTACTGTAAATCGATGAGATGCAGAAGTCATGTTTCTCCTGATGATGTAGCATGTTGGATGTTTCTACATAACAAGCGTAAGGAAATTAATGTCTAGATACCATGCACATAAGTCCTTAGTTCCGTATATATGTGGAGGGCTTGCGCATGACGTCACAGCCACCATGTTGGTGTTCCAATTCAAAATAATTTTAATTAAACTCTCTTGTCTGGAACACCAACATGACCGCCATGGTGGCTTTTGTTGAGTTGTCTCTTTGGGTTGAGTGCAATCGCTCTATTATACGTATTTTATTCCGACTTGTTAAATGTTGTAAGAATACCTACCAGTTGCATAGCAATTGTAGTATGCATTTCTACAGATTACAATTAGAAAATTGAAAGTCTTAATAATCTAGAAATATATAATACAGTATGAAAAGTATGAGTAGACTCCATGTGAGTTCTTCTGGTATTTTTTTTTTAAGTTTGTCTATTTGCTATTGAAGATATTGATTAACAGAGACATTATTATTAATATTTGAAGTGTTAAAATATTAAATATTTACTTCAATAGACTTAATTCGCGGACTATTGAAGTAAACAAATTGAATTGTTGTGTCTTATTTTTTCTCTATCTCAGGCCTCAGATGATCTGTACGAAATTGAGCAAATGTATATATGCGTTAGAAATATTTACATACAGCTATATTCCTGTCATCTTTAATTAGAAGCATTATACCAAAGCATTATTGAGAGGGGCCATGATAACGGAGGTAGTCAGGTAACATATAGAAGTTATCCAGTGAAATTGTTCTCGATATGTTTTTTGTCTTGTTTTATTCCTTATACTGTATGGGAGGAGGGCTATCTGCAGAGTTGGGATGGGGTGGGAGGTGGGGGACACAAACATGTGAACTTCAAATACTAGATCGCTCCTATATGTAATGTTAAAGGGGCCATTCATTTTCAGATAACATTATACTGTATAATTGAATTTGAATTGGAAGTTTATACATGCAACAAAGGCAATAGGTCACCTTGCATGTCTACATAGAAATTCCACATTGAACGCTACTGTTTCGCTGGTGGTTTCTTGGATTTCTTCTTTTAGGACGGATAACTTGTCCAATGAATATTTACTATTGTGATTACATCTCTATGGAGGTATGCAATATCACTCGTGTTTTATCAGGAACTGATGTTTATATTAAACGTGTCCATGCGATACTATGTATTATATCGCATCTCGTTTGACTGTATGATCGCCAGTTAACATTTTTCATGCCAGAAAGTGAACAAGAACAACTGGAACAATATTCATATATGTACTATTTTATAGTTTATCGTCAATACGAAAACATTTTCATTTTCACACAGTTACGCGAACGTCTCAAATATATATTGCTCATTGTAGTGATCACTGTATCTGAGTGCAAATTTAAATTATACTATATTCGTTGTTATCTTAAGTATAATAACTGACAATCACTGTATTCTGAAAAATCATCATTAAAGCATGCGAGGTCACACGTGGATTGTGTGTGTGACTGTGTGTGGAGGGGGGGGGGAGGCTGCAACCAGACTCTTATTTTTGTTCACGCAAAACTTTGTCTTTGTAGTTGTTCATAAGCGGATTATGAATTAATTATGTTCAAATGTTTTGAAACGAATTTTTCAGAAATATTACAACGGGCAGAAATTGTTTTTCCCCTTCCACTATTCGTTGTGCCTCCTCCCCACATCGAAAACGAGAAGAAAGAAGGAAAAAAAGAATAAGAAGAAAGAAGGCTTGTGCAATTACTCATTAACATAATTGCATTCACTTCAAACTTTTTTCACACGACAAGTATCATCAAATGAATAGTTTGAGTGTGTACAAAAAGTCTGTTAATGAAGTAAATGCATGAATTAGTACGTAATTATTTTGGAATTTTCTTTGCTGCGACCGCGCAACCAGCATTGACTGGGTTACACATCATGCATTAACATTCAAAATTACTGCTATAGTGGATTACAAATATCAGTTTATAACAATTTGAAATATCGAATTTCCTTTTTACATTTTTGCAGTATCCTTTTAACGTATCCTAAAGATTTTTTTATTGAAATTTTAACAATTAAATTAAATATTTTGTGTAATCCAGTCTACGAACTACCACTCGGCACGCGTCTCATTGCTGCAATGGCGCCAAATGAAATCACAAAAACCTTTTTCACTAAACAATTCAAAAGACAGAGATTTCAAACATATTATTGATGTTATTTCTGTACTAATAATGCTCATCAAGTTGAAAAAGGCTTTCGTGTAATCATTGCATTGTCGCCCTGATTGCGCAAATCTTGCATATATGGCTGCGTTCGTTAATATTGCCGAATCTATTGCTGCTGGTCACGCATCATTTGAAAATGAGAAAGCCAACAATGCATGTACTTATCTTACATTTACTCTTCTGGCACATGTCTATTCAGTATACTTAGCCAATTAAAAAACATCTATAGTAGAAATGTTACTTTCTACCAAAATTCTCTTGGATACCCTTTTTTACGAGGCTCATAAATGTCTTGTTGTCAACAAGCTCTGCAGATGCCTGGCATTCTACAATGCAACTTCACGTGTAACTTTTACCGTCTTGACACAGCACGCGACAACAATAAGTGCCAACTTTATCTTCTGTTAACTCAAACGCGTATTCCTGTTCGTTGGATACTGTTATGCCGTTAAATGTCCAGGAAAAGGTTTTCCCTGCACATGTAGATACACTGCAGTATAGTACCACATTCTTTCCCTGATGTTGCTTGTACCGAGTTGCTGTAACACATTGTTTGGATATTGGTCCAGTTTCGGTATTCGGATGTACTGGGTAGTTTTTCAATCCTAGAAATAGCTCTTTGGCCATTTCATTTCTTATCTTTGAAATACTTTGAACATCTAGGTCGAAAGTAAGCAATCCCAAATGGTAGCTCATGTACATTAGTATGAACACTCCACAACTACAAGAATCCTTTTGGCTTGGAAATTTTTCTTCCCATATTACATCAAAGTCTTTTATGAAACCCTTTGACTCTATTTCAATATCGCATGTTTTATTGCACTTGTAGAAGAGCTCAAAAAAAACTTTGAATAATTTTATTACCGTCTCATTTTGGATTCCTTTGCCCATGGGATCATAGTAAAACATTTGCGTGTTCCAAATGTTGATCACCACTGCTGTCCAATGGTTGTGGATATTAATTGGGATCAATATGTAATCACATGCCTCATAGTCAATCATTTGACGAGTTCTTGATATTATTTCATATAATCTTTTTTCGTTGCCTCCCTTTAACATTGTGTTCCGTAATCGAAGATAGAAGAAACTGTATAGCACATGAACACGAATACCTTTTTGTGGAGAAGCCTTCAGTAGCAATAATAAATAGGAATCAATGATGCTGTCATTCAACCATCCAGGCTTTTCCAATGAGTAACTGTTATTCATCACTGGAAATTCCAAAGTCTTGAAATTGCTTCCTGCTAAAGTGTAACCCAACTTTATGTTTGGTACTGATTGATTTGTATTTATATGATACATCGTAGAAGCGCTCAATATTTTCAGTTTTATTCGTACTGCGTTCATTTCCTTGGTCATATTCTCCCAACAAACTCTCACGTCTATCTTCTTCCTCTCTTTTATTATCGTCATTGTCAGAATGAGGGGAATTGTCAGAATTAGGAGAATAATCTAATTGCGTAGTCTACTTCTTGGTATAAAATGCCAAATACACTGTAGATTGTACGTTAGATATCCAACCATCAGTCACATCTTTGACAATGTGATCGTCGATTTCTATAATCTTATCATTGTCGAAAATAACTGCTGTGTAATGTCCATTGTGAATGTGCATCCCATGATGTAGGGCGCATGCTTTAAGACTGTATTGGCATGGCATGTTTCCTACCACATGAAGTTCCAGTGGTAACTGTACTCTTGAGTGGTTCTTCTTTGTGATTCCACTTTTCTGTTGAAATCTATTAAATCCTATGACTAATGTTTGAGGTAGAAATACAAATTTCCCTGAAAGTTTATTCACAGTAACTTTTGCGCAAGAGCTACATTGAATAGGAACGTGATCATCGTTCATAGAATGTACGATGCTCCTTTCCAAATCTTGTATGCCATTTAAGACAGGCACAATGATGGTTGTACGTGTTTCTGGTGGGAGATCATCGTGCTTAACACATTCTCTGCATGTTTTCGTAAACTGACAACCGCTTTGAAAATGTATGGCAATGAAATCGTTCATGTTTTGGGTCCCTGATGAACAAAGTCTTGTAAAGATTTCGTGTATATCTTGTTGTTCACCAGGAACTAACTTGTACTCATCTTCGATGGCTTTGTGGAGTTCATATGGATAAAACGAGCCATTTAGAACATACAACATTTTGCTAATGACTTTAATTAATGCCGATGTGACCTTACATTTTGTATTTTTTTTAATGTTATCCAACATGCCAATACGGAGGGGTATGGAGTTCATGCACTGTACAAGAGTGTTTAGCCAACAATCGTTTCGTTTGTTTCACAATCCCACGAACTTTTCTAGATAATCATCTTCATCATCAAAACTGTTTATTAATTTGTTAAGCTTTTTTCTTTTTGATTTAATCGAGGATTGAGTGGAACTTTTACGTTTTGTATTAATGTCTCTCCTATCATTATCTTCTTCATCTCCGTCGTGTTTGTATATCCACTCAGTACATTTCTTCCTATTTTCGATTCTCTCCCTCCTTGTCAATCTTGATTTAGGTGGACCTTTACTTTTGAGAACAGTTTTACGAGTACAATTTACCACTCTGCTTGCATTTTCCTGCTCTGATGACACACTAGTATTCATCTTAGAAGACATTTTTCCAGGTTTCTGTTCATTATAACTACATGCGTTCACTTTTTTTGTTTTTTTTATATGTGATTCGGAACCAGCTGGATGAACACTTCTTTTCGACTTAATCTTTTCAAAGTCTGGTTTAGTGCTCAACGGTATCGTTGGGAATTGTTGGAATTGTCCAACTATTGGATTCTGTTTTGGCATTCCTGGATCTTTCTTACCCAATTTTTCTTCGGCATCATGACTGTTTTCATTTCGTGAATTGATGCTTTCATCCGTGCTGGAAAGATTACGTTTTGTACTAATATCCCTCTCAGCATTATCTTCTTCATCTCCGTCGTGTATGTATATACACTCTGTCCATTTTTTCCCATTTTCGGTTTTCTCCTTCCTTGTTAATCTGGATTTAGCTGGACCTTCATTTTTGAGAACAGGTTTAGGAGCACATTTTACTCCTCTGCTTGCATTTTCCTGCTCTGATGACACACCCGTATTAATTTTAGAAGGCATTTTGTCAGGTTTCTGTTCATCATAACTACATGCGTTCACTCTTTGATTAGGTTTTCTATGTGTTTCAGAACATGATGGATGAATCTTTCTTTTAGACTTTCCCTTTTTAAAGTCTGGTTTACTACTCAACGGTATCTTTGGAGATTGTTGGAATTGCCCAAGTCTTGGATTATGTTTTGGAGTTTCTGGATCTTTCTTACCCCATTTTTCTTGGGCATCATGATAGTTTTCTTCCGTGAACTGATGCTTTCAACTGTGCTGGAAAGATTGCCGTCGCTATCTTCCTTCTTTCCTTCTTCTTGTACGCTCTCTTTCTTTTGGGCTTAAGACGACTGTGTAATCTATCACCATAGTCACGTAAACGTCTTCTTATTCGTGAGTAATTTTCATGAACGAAAGTATCTGCTCTAAGACGTTTTCTTCCGCTAAAGTCTTCTTGTTTAAGATTTCTCATTGCACCTTCTATATAACCTTCTGATTTAGTGTTAGCGGATGAAAATGATAGAAAATTATTAACTTCCCTTTCTTTAGTTGTACAAGGATCTTTTCTGTATCGATCCAATCTTCCTAATAATACGCCTGACCATAATGGCATTTCTGTGAGGTACTTTTTGATAAATGTCAAGAATTGCGGGGAGTAGCTTCTATTATCTGCTAATGCATCGGGTGCCTGCATACTATCTTTCTCAACACGTTTCTCTATGTCACTTAACTTCGTCTCGAAATAGTCAACTAAGGGGTTTCCAGGTTTTGTCTCATTCTCAATGTCATCTTCTTGGTTTTGCTTAGTCACACTTTCCTTCTCTGTTTCAAAATCCTTAAGATTTATATTAGATTCTTTCTCCATGTGGTTCAAACGCCCTGAATGTTTACGGAACGAGACCAAACACATTTTAGTTTGCTTCTTACAAGATAGACATACAACTGTATCTTCCAGAATAGTGACAAATTTGTGTAATGTTCGCGCATTCACTAATAAAGACACGGAATACATGCTATTGCGATACCATTCGTTCTCCGTAGAACGTGCCAATTGTTTGATCTTCCTGTGTGCTATATGCATGAAATGACTGCATCCTACATGTGGAATTGTGAGCTCGTAATCTCTTGTCGTTC